CAAAAAGAGAGCGGATGATAGAGTGGGAGAGGTACGGTCAAGAAATTTTAATGAAAATAAGAAAAAAATTTGGAATGACTTAACCAAGTTAAGAAAGCCTAGAGAGTTAGTTTAGTTAGTTTAATATGTTTATTATGCACCCCATACCCATCCTGTGGGCGGTAGTCAAAAGATTACAGAGGTACATAATTGGTCCAGGGACTGGACTCCAAAGTTTTGATAGCTGAGCAAGTTACAGAGGTAATGAACTCACAATTTACAAAGGTAATGAACTCACAATTTACAAAGGTAATGAACTCACAATTTACAAAGGTAATGAACTCCAGGTAAGTCTGGTCACAATCATGACAAGTTGCAAAGGTATTTACAGATTACAGAGGTACGTAATGGGTCCAGGGACTGGGCCCCCAAAGTTTTGATAGCTGAACTAGGTACAAAGGTAATGAGCTCACAAGCCTAGAGAACGAATGGATTTGTCAGTTAAAAACAGAGTAGGGGAGTTAGTAGATGGCGAGAATATTTTGAGGAACTTTTAAATGTCGACGAAGAAAGGGAAGTGGTAATTTCATGCACTGGTCAGGGAGGTATACCATCTTTTAGGAGTGAAGAAGAGCAGGATGTGAGTGTGGGGAGGTGCGTGAGGCATTACTTAGAATGAAAGGGGGTAAAGCAGCTGGAACTGACGGGATCATGACAGAAATGTTAAAAGCAGGGGGGGATATAGTGTTGGAGTGGTTGGTATTTTTGTTTAATAAATGTATGAAAGAGGGGAAGGTACCTAGGGATTGGCGGAGAGCATGTATAGTCCCTTTATATTTACCTGGAGAGAGTTCCGGGGGTCAACGCCCCCGCGGCCCGGTCTGTGACCAGGCCTCCTGGTGGATCAGAGCCTGATCAACCAGGCTGTTACTGCTGGGTGCACGCAAATCAACGTACGAGCCACAGCCCGGCTGGTCAGGTAAAGGAAAGGGGGACAAAAAAGATAGTAAACTTATTCCTCTATAATTTTTACAGAGTATACCAGGAAAAGTGTACGGTAGGGTTATAATTGAAAGAATTAGAGGTAAGACAGAATGTAGAATTGCGGAATGCGGAGCTTCAGAGTGGGTAGGGGATGTGTAGATCAAGTGTTTACATTGAAGCATATATGAAACAGTATTTAGATAAAGGTAGGGAAGTTTTTACTGCATTTATGGATTTAGAAAAGGTATAAAAAGAGTGGATAGGGGAGCAATGTGGCAGATTTGCAGGTATATGGAATAGGTCTGTCTTTTCTCGCTATTGGATCACTACGACAAGGTCCTAAGCATAGAAGATAAAAAGAATGCAGATGTAATATATACAGCCTTTGCAAAGCCTTCGACAAGTGTGACCATGGCGTAATAGCGCACAAAATGCGTGCTAAAGGAATAACAGGAAAAGTCGGTCGATGGATCTATAATTTCCTCACTAACAGAAACACAGAGAGTAGTCGTCAACAAATAAGTCCGAGGCAGCTACGGTGAAAAGCTCTGTTCCACAAGGCACAGTACTCGCTCCCATCTTGTTCCTCATCCTCATATCCAACATAGACAAGGAGCCCAGCCACAGCACTGTGTCTTCCTTTGCAGATGGCACCCGAATCTGCATGAGTGTCTTCCATTGCAGAAAACTGAAAGGCTCCAGGCGGACATCAACCGAATCTTTCAGTGGGGTGCAGAAAACAATATGAAGTTCAACGATGAGAAATTTCAATTACTCAGATAGGTAACACGAGGAAATTAAATCTTCATCAGAGTACAAAACAAATTCTGGCCACAAAATAGAGCGAAACACCAACGTCAAAAACCTGGGGGTGATCATGTCGGAGGATCTCACCTTCAAGGAAACCCTAACATTGTATCAATCGCATCTGCTAGAAAAATGACAGGATGGATAATTAGAACCTTCAAAACTAGGGAGGCCAAGCCCATGATGACAACTCTTCAGGTCACTTGTTCTATCTAGGCTGGAATATTGCTGCACACTAACAGCACCTTTCAAGGCAGGTGAAATTGCTGACCTAGAAAATGTACAGAGAACCTTCACGGCGTGCATAACGGAGATAAAACACCTCAATTACTGGGAGCGCTTGAGGTTCCTGAACCTGTATTCCCTGGAACGCAGGCGGGAGAGATACATGATTATATACACCTGGAAAATCCTAGAGGGACTAGTACCGAACTTGCACACGAAAATCACTCACTACGAAAGCAAAAGACTTGGCAGACGATGCAACATCCCCCCAATGAAAAGCAGGGGTCTCACTAGCACGTTAAGAGAACATACAATAAGTGTCAGGGGCCCGAGACTGTTCAACTGCCTCCCAGCATACATAAGGGGGATTACCAACAGACCCCTGGCAGTCTTCAAGCTGGCACTGGACAAGCACCTAAAGTCGGTTCCTGACCAGCCGGGCTGTGGCTCGTACGTTGGTTTATGTGCAGCCAGCAGCAACAGCCTGGTTGATCAGGCTCTGATCCACCAGGAGGCCTGGTCACAGACCGGGCCACGGGGGCGTTGACCCCCGGAACTCTCTCCAGGTAAACTCCAGGTGGAAAGTTACTAAATGCTGTAAAGAGTTTTTATGAGGATAGTGAGGCTCAGGTTAGGGTGTGTAGAAGAGAGGGAGAATACTTCCCAATAAAAGTCGGTCTTAGACAGGGATGTGTAATGTCACCATGGTTGTTTAATATATTTATAGATGGGGTTGTAAAAGAAGTAAATGCTAGGGTGTTTGGGAGAAGGGCGGGATTAAATTATGGGGAATCAAATACAAAATGGGAATTGACACAGTTGCTTTTTGCTGATGATACTGTGCTTATGGGAGATTCTAAAGAAAAATTGCAAAGGTTAGTGGAATGAGTTTGGGAGTGTGTGTAAAGGTAGAAAGTTGAAAGTGAACATAGAAAAGAGTAAGGTGATGAAAGTATCAAATGATTTAGATAAAGAAAAATTGGATATCAATTTGGGAAGGAGGAGTATGGAAGAAGTGAATGTTTTCAGATACTACTTGGGAGTTGACGTGTCGGCGGATGGATTTATGGAGGATGAGGTTAATCATAGAATTGATGAGGGAAAAAAAGGCGAGTGGTGCGTTGAGGTATATGTGGAGATAAAAAAAAACCTCAAGCGCTCCCAGTAATTGAGGTGTTTTATCTCCGTTATGCGCGCCGTGAAGGTTCTCTGTACATTTTCTAGGTCAGCAATTTCACCTGCCTTGAAAGGTGCTGTTAGTGTGCAGCAATATTCCAGCCTAGATAGAACAAGTGACCTGAAGAGTGTCATCATGGGCTTGGCCTTCCTAGTTTTGAAGGTTCTCATTATCCATCCTGTCATTTTTCTAGCAGATGCGATTGATACAATGTTATGGTCCTTGAAGGCGAGATCCTCCGACATGATCACTCCCAGGTCTTCGACGTTGGTGTTTCGCTCTATTTTGTGGCCAGAATTTGTTTTGTACTCTGATGAAGATTTAATTTCCTCGTGTTTACCATATCTGAGTAATTGAAATATGAGGATGAGGAACAAGATGGGAGCGAATACTGTGCCTTGTGGAACAGAGCTTGGATGAGCCCCTGAACCCCTTGGACCGCAGGGCCCCAAAATGCACGGGGCCCTAGGCAAATGCCTAGTTTGCCTATGCGGTAATCCGGCCCTGAGAGCAGTACATTTGAACATACATTATTAGACATACATAATTAACTTTATAATAATGAGGTAGTACAAATCATATAATATTACAAATTGTAAATTTAGTAATGGGAATGGATCTGTCCTGGCATGATACATTGTTTCTATTAAAGTTAGGCAAACTTAGGACTAACTTAAGATTTAATAGGCAATAGCTATATTAGGAATTTTATGTTTACACTCATTTGGGTGGGTGTAAGTGTAAATTAGGGTGAATTACAGATAACGAGAATAAGACTATATTATTTTGGACGTGTTCGTGATACAAAATAGAAAATTAGGTGGTTTTCATTTGGTTAGCTAATGATGGGGTGTGTTAGGGAGACGAGATGTTTTTTAATGGTAGTTTTGAAAATGGTGGCCAAGTCTGTGGTTCTATTATTAGAGGCCTGGGCTAGCCTAAATGGTAGAACATCGAACTGTCTATTTACAGACAGCGGTTCAAACCCCTCATCCACCCTTCTTTTCATTTATCGACTATTGTTTAATACAACTTACTTAATTGTAGGTGTTTCCATCCCTTAACCTTCATTGAAAGTGTTCAATCCCTCAGTCCTTCAGTCAAGGCTAGGTTATTGAACACCTACTAATGCTGAGGGATTGGTCACTTATCAAGGCCCTGAGAACACCTTAATAGTACCATTCCACTTCCATTGTCTAACATTGATGACTTTTTTGATCTTAGAAAGCGTGCTGTGCAGGTGAAACATTTCATCAATAAAGATACCCAAGCGCTTATGTTTTTTAAAGATTTTATTAGTTTCAATTGGTAATTTTTGCCTGTGATTATGGTGGGGTAATGTATCAGTTATGATACAGCACCTGGGGAAATGGGAAACACTTGGGTTCACTCCAAGGAAGGAGAGCATTATGATAAATCTTGATGTTATTATTATTATTATAATCAAAAAGAAGCGCTAAGCCACAAGGACTATACAGCAAATCTTGATGTTAGAGGAGCCATTGCCAAAATCTGTCCAAATGTAGTCATGCAAGGATCCACTTTTTGGTAATTCTTTTAGGTTTAGTCACTCGTTAATAAGGAATTATACGTGAAAAGGACACCAGGTGCTTGTGACCTTCTGATTGAATAAAACTGATGTTACTGTAAGTGAAGATTAATTAGTTTACTGTTTAGGCCTTTCCAATTATCATTAAAGTTGGCTATGTTGGCAAACTGTGATATGTAGACAGCTCCAATTGTGATAATTTTCATTAAGGTTTTGATAGTAAAGGATGCAAACAAATATTCCCTAAATATTTATTGAGGGTTTAAATAAAACAAAATCACGAGATAAAATTTATTATAGAATTATAAAAAATAAATATAGGCATGTTATATATTTATATGTAGTTTAGTATATTAAAACAGTGGTGCAATAAAAATCCACTACTATTTCTAAAACCATTTTGTTTAACAGTGCCATATTTATGGCATATACTGTATCACAGAACTTCCCAGTCTAAAGGTTCAGAACCTTCACAGAGTGTCAGGTTTGCCGTCAATGCTGATTTTGGAAGTTCCTCTGATATCTGGAATTTTTCATGCTGGCAGAGGTGTCCATCATTATCTAGGCCCCACAAGAAGTTATCTACTGTTGCTGGAAAAAACAGAAAAATACATATTATGCATGTGCAATGCAGGGAGCGAGAGGCTCATTTTCTGTTTTTCTGCACGAAATTATTAGAGATGGAGAAAATATTTTGGATTACTAAGTGTAAATGGTGGAAATGAACTTTTTTATGAGGAAAGGGTCAGAAATGAGTACAGTGAAAGGAATTCAAGGATCAAGGGTAACATGCTGAAAGCAGGTGGGGGTATACTGTAGTTTTGGGGTGCTTGGTTTTTTTTTTTTATTTTTTTTTTTCAACAGGCCATCTCCCACCAAGGCAGGGTGAGCCAAAAAAAAAAAGAAGAAACATTTTCACAATCACTATCTTCCCAGAGGTGTGCCACTACAATAGTTAACATCTGCAAATATCCCCACCCCCTCCAGAGTGCAGGCACTGTACTTAGGTAAGGGCAAAGAACAGTTGCATAAAACAGTGTATAAAAATAAATGAAATCTCATAGTAGATTAAGGAATAATTTTCAGGAATGCATTAACATCAAAAGTGAGGGATATAAGTATAAAACTATACAGCACCATTAAAATTAACACATAATTGCCACTACATATATCACATAGCAAAACAATTGAATCTTTACCTGAAATTTTAGCAAGATTTCCTGGAATTTTCTGCCATGCATCACCAATGTAATTTGTGTTGGTCACTCCAATACGCTTGAAAACTTCACCACTAGGAGTAAGGGCAAAAACTTCATTGTCACTGAAAAAAAAATCAAAACTGTCAGCAAGGTATTTTGAAACCATGTTTAGGAAACAAGTTAGGATGTAAAAAAGGGGGAAATGCTTTCCAGTAATACCTAGTTATAACTACACTTAAGCAAAGTACGTATATACTATATGTGAAATTCTATATGAATGGAGGAACACTGCAGAACCTACTCGTATTTTTGTACCTACCCAAGGTATTAGCCTAAAGAAATGTCCTTTGATCTTCATTCATCCAAGTTTATAACCTTTTTGCTGTCTCTTGTGTAGGTCTAGGTCATGGGTGGGCAAAATCTTCAGTGCAGGGGCCACATTCACAATTATAAAAGGCCGCATAGTATATTAAGTAAAATAATTAATATTTAAAATAGCCAAATTAAAAGGCTTTTAAAGAAAAAAGCAATTAATTTTTTAAAGTAGTATATGACTTGATACTGGCGGGCCGTAGTTTGCCCACCGCTGGTCTAGGTTATTGACACCGGTGCGATTCGTTGATCTACAGTTTTAAGCGCAGCACCCTCAAATATGTTGAGTGGTAAATTTGGGCCTGTGTGCACAGTATAAAAAAAAAACCTGCTTCACATGGTGCATAATGGGAAAGGCAAACCTGACCTTGTGATTTTGAAGCACTGGTATCATCTGATAGTATGGAAGACATACTACTGAGGTAGAGATGAATTTTTGTCAGTTTCAATACCAGAAGTAGCTTGAAATAGGGCTCAAAGTAGCAGAAATATTAAATATTTGACAATTTTCCTGAAGGGAAAGTCCTGACAATGAAAGGGTTAAGAAACAGAACCAATATAATTCAATGTTAGTGCATTTTCAACCCTAAATAACATGTAAAAGTCATCCATTTACAACTCCCTTACCTAATAGACAGATTCAGAGCCAAAAGGCCAGCAACAGGAACCCATGAGAGGCCAATGGGTAGTTCTGGGAAGATGGCTTCTCTCACATACACTCTGCGACTTGAGTCCACAGCCCAGACCATGTGCAGCTTCATACCCACAAAAACCTGGTTGTAATTTTATGTTAGGGTTATAGAACAAATTATTTACTTAATTTACTTCATGTTTTAATTTTTTTGGGGGGTCACCCTGCCTTGGTGGGAAACAGCCGACATGTTAAAAAAATTATTTTTGCCATTTAGAATGCATATGCCATTTATGTAACTAAAGAATACTACACTTTTCTGAACCTAAATAGGTATAAATGCTCCATATTAAGGTAGGGTGACCTATAGGAAACAATGCTTTCCAGAAAAGCATAGACATCACAATGAAATGATCCCTTGAACTGCAACATTCATACACATCTTGTTTAGAAAAAACAAAGTTCTCTAATAATAATTATGTAACAAGGAATAACACTATACTGTACCTTAGTGAACACGGCATTTCCTTTAAGAGTTACTGGATCAACCTGGATCCATGCTGGTGGAAGACTACCACTTGTAGGAGTAAGGGGACCTTGTCGCATATATACGCCCCCACGAGTGTCTACTCCCCAGACGACGTCCATACCACATGATATATGGCATAAATGAATATCTCCTACATGAAAAAAAAAAAATTATCCAATGCTGTATTTAAATGTATGTAGACCTGTACAACCACACCAGGAAGAATTAAAGGCAACTTTCTCCACCAAAAAAAAAAATAAATGAGTGTACTATTTCACACAAAAAATTCTTCCTGTAAAAACTTTAATGGGAGGTGATATGATGCACTCCTTTGATTAAAATAAATAAATGTCCTGTAAAGAAAATGACAACAGACATACTGTACACAAAGGCACAAGATGTACATAAAACACATTTGTCATGCCTAAAACTGATCTTTCAGTACTTCATAAAGTCCAGAAGTTTCACTTAAAGATCATAAATTTTTTTTCCCAGAGGAAAATTAAGATATTTTATAATGTGTAAATTTAACAAAGCCAAGTTAGATTACAACATTGTTTTTAGTTCACACCAAATGTGTTTTCCGTGGTGACGGGGGATGGCCCTTCAATCAAATTTAAATGCCATATATATTGTACTATATAATACATACCAATTTGATTCAGGTCGAGCTGTTGCCAATGTGATCCGTGGAGTGATTTTGCAGAGAGTCCCAGCCTGATAAAGATATCTCCAGCTGCTGTTAAAACCCACATGGCTTCTGGACGCTGACTCACACTCACAATGCACTCATTTTTTGGTAAGTCAAAAGGCTGAAAACAGCAATGCTAGAAGTTTAAATATGTCACTCATAAATATACATAACATACTGTAATAATGCATGTGTTTAACCCTTAAATTGTCCAAGCAGATCTACGTTATTTTTACATATTTTCAAATATAACAAAAAAATCTACTTTTTTTACATACATACTTTCAAATGTTGAAAAAACATATATACAGTATAAATTTGGACTGTTTACGGGTTAAAATAGGAATTGACATAGACACCAGATTCAAAATTCTTCATTAAAGACTGGAAGAGATACAAAAGGAAATGTTAAGAAATTGCTTTCTTCATGGCTACAATCAAAACAAAGTAACTTTGCCATTTGAAAGCCTTTTGCAAAACAAATACTAAACCAGGTATACCACCAAGAACTACCATAGATATGAAAGCCCGCTTAGCAGTGGCCAGGAGGCCTATTGCAGAGCTTCTCTAATATTTTCTCAAGTTAACACTTGATCTGTTGCTCTCTCCTGCCTTTAAAATGTGCTACCGACAAGTATAATCTATTAGATTTGAAAAGGCCTGTTGTACAGGTGTCTAAATAAAGGTTCTAACTACTGAGTGTATGTTTTTATCAACTGCATTATTATATTTATAGGAAGTACTAAATGTGTATAAGTCAATGCACAATGAGGTAATTAGGATTGATCCAAGGAAGGGGATAATACCTCTAATTCCTTGGATCCATAACTCTTCACCAGCATCAAAGATCCCCCCCCTCCCCCATGAAGAACGACACTTCTTAACCTTGAAAAAGTTTCATATATGTACAATATTACAAACTTAAAAAAGCCTTTACTAGAAAATTACCAACATTTACCCCTTAGACTTAGCTTTAACTTTCTGATTATAATATATATAGTCAGGCTGCCTCTTGAAAGCTAAGTAGGAAGACTAAAAATTACAATGCATTACAAGAAAAAGCCACAACCTGCATCTTGCAGTAACTGTTGATATTATTTCAAAACTACTTTTATATATATATAGTGGTACCCGGAGTTTCGTACAGCTCCCAAGTCGAACAATTATGCAAGTGTATTATTGTAAGTGCTTTTGCAAGTATTTTTGGGGGTCTGAAGCAGACTAGTCTAATTTACATTATTCCTTATGGGAACAAATTTGTTCGGTAATGGCACTCGAACAGCCTTCAGGAAAGAATTATGGCCAAAACTCAGGGTACCACTGTATAAGTATAAACCAGAAATTTAAATAAACACAGCTTTACATGCCGGAATTTTTTAATAAATGAACGTAACAATTCACTGGAGTGATCTGGGATTACCAGGATGTTGCTTTATTCCACTACACTACAGATGTTATGAGGTTTCTGCATCCAGGTCCCAGTAAGATTCACCAGCCTGCCCTGGATGATCACTGGTGAAATCTTATGACCTTTTGTGGTGCAGTGGACTAAAGTAACAAGCTGGTAAAAATCCCAGACTGCACTTTATCCTGATCACTTCACTCCAAAACTATTTTATTCTTACCACAGAACAGGCAGTGTTGGGGTTAACAACAAACAGTTGTCCAAGAGGAGAGAGACAACAAATGGCAACCCTGATCCATGTAAAACCCTCGCACAAACAGTAGACCAGACATCTTCACTAAACACCGACCAAACATGACCTGAATAAGAAAAAAATAACTGCAGAATATTTGTTTAAAGTGGGCAATCTTTTATAAACAATATTATCAACAATTTTTTTTGGCACATCAGCTGTGTCCCACCAAAGTAGGGTGACGCAAGAAAAGGAAACACATTCACCATCGCTTAAAAGTGTGCAGACATCACAAATGGCCCTCTGAACTACATCCCCACTGCCCCCTTTAGAATGCAGGCACTGTACTTCCTCATCTCCAGGACTCAGTCTGGCCAACTGATTTCCCTAATCCCCTTCATAAATGTTATCTTGCACTCAAACAGCACATTAAGCCATATCAACCACTTGTTTGTCTACTCTGGCCTGAAAAACCTCCTTTGTTTTCCCCAAGTCTATTATGTATGCATTACTCAAACTTTAAATTAAAAACTGTTTCAATGAATTAACCAATATATAAACAAAAAAATGATTAAATGCCTAACCTGTACAATTTGGATCATGTACAGAGTACCAGTTGGAGTTGTGTTCTGCTACCCAGAGCCTCGTGATGATGCATCAATCATGATGCTACCATACTCTCCAATGCTGTCCATCATGTAATCACTAGTTACAACCTAAAATACAGTTTGTTATTGTGATAATTATTTAGGTTAAGAAAATGACAAGAGTAGATAGCACAATCAAAATAAGCATGTGAATTTTCTATTTGGATATTAGAAAAAATGTGAAATAAACTTGAACATAACATTGATACAAAGATTATCTGAATAGACACAGCATCACAGTGAACACTGAAGATCAAAGCTTCCCTGGTGATTTACTGTCACCGCTTTAATGCCATAAAAAAAATACCACGGCCAGGGACTGAACGCGTGGCAAACGAGTCGTAAAACTCCAGGCGTGGCCTGAAGTTTTATGATTTTGTGAAATCTTATTTTATAGCATTAACTTTCCTAAATTCAGTCCATTTTTGTTTCACGTATTAATACCATGTGTAAAGAAAACTAACACACCTAACACAGAAATTAGTAGGGATCACTGGATATTATAATGGATTTTCTTTTTACATTTAGTAATTTATACAGAAGGGGTTACTAGCCCCTTGCTCCTGGCATTTTAGTTGCCTCTTACAACACACATGGCTTATGGAGATAGGATTCTTCTCTACTTCCCCGTGGAGATTAAAGCATACATCCTCTGCACATCTATTTTTTTGTTATGGTTCTTTTAAATGATACTTGGCAAACAACTAGGGGCATAATTAACCTTCTGTCATATAATAACAAAAAAATGTACTCACTTGCCACCACTTTGAATCCCTGCCCTGTGGATATTTGGCACAGACTCCAAGACGAAAGTACACTTGGCCCTTGCCATCTACAATCCATCCTTTCTGCCCTGGTCCCAGTGCCATAGCCATTACAGGTACTGCACTGGTCTCCATTACTCCCCATTCGTGACCTAGAGGTGAGCGAGAAGTCACTCCTATCCTGAAAAGGAAATACTCGTACTATAAATTCTGAAATTTAGGAGGAAAAAAAAAACTATACTGCACATCATTAATATCAGTACAATACTGGTCTTTTTAAGCTCAGTTACAAAGTTCATAACTAACCTAAACAACAACTTTCCTTGGTCGGTAAGGCCCCATACTACTTGGCTACGGCATATAACTCTCGCCATTTTAAACTCCTCACACTGCACAATTTGTGGACTCCGATCACTCAAACTTGGCTGTACACACATCTGTTAAAAATATTTTGAAAGGAATTGTAACCACTGAAAACTATAAAATATTAAAATAATGTCCCAAAATTTATGTCTAAAAACAATAACTCTGAAATTATTATTGTTATATATATATATATATATATATATATATTTTAAATGCACCAGGCATCACTCACAGAGGTAGGGTGATCTAAAAAAGAAAAAAAAACTTTTCGCCATCACTCACTAGATCACTGTCCCACCTCCAAAGTCTGACTAACTGGTTTACCTGAATCCTTTCATAAATGTTACCTTGATCACACTCCAACAGCACATAGTCATAAAAACCACTTGCCTCCACTCAGTCTTATCTAAAACAAACACACGCACATGCATGCACACACCTGCTGGATGTCTAGGCCCCCCACATACAAAACCTACTTTATCCCCTTCCTCCAACCACATCATCCTATTTTGCTCCGTCCTCCCTAAGTGTCCAAACCACCTTACCCCTTCCTCAGGCCCCACTAGCAAGCCCTAACCACACTGATGTGATTATTATTATGGCTTCATTATTCCACCACTTCCAAGTAACTGATTCAACTATATAAGTCTTCTCTCATGTCTGTATTAGATTGATAAGACCCTGGTGTGTACACATCATATTCATAATTTTTTTTTTTTAACAAACTGGCTGTATCCCACCAAGGCAGGGTGACCTAAAAAGAAAGTCTCTTTTTAAATTTAGTAATTTATACAGGATTTACTAGACCCTTGCTTCCAAGCATTTTAATAGTCTCTTTTGACATGCATGGCTTCAGAGGAAGGATTCTGTTCCACATCCCCATGGAGAATCATTATTATTATTATTATTATCATCAACAATAAGACTGGTTCCAAACATTTTTCAGATATTAAAATGTTAAAAATGTGTAAAATTACTACTTCTCTTACCTGATTTTGTTTATTGATGTACCATGTAAGATCCTCATCCACACACATTTGTAAAACATTCTCGGCTACAGGCATCATCTTGGATGATGGTAACATTTCCAATCTTGGATTGCAGATGGCATATGCATTAGAGACAAACTGTAGCCACATTATGTGACCACTTGGTGAACTAGAAATATGGGTAGCCTTTTTAGGCAACTTAACTTTTCTCCAAGCTTTGCTTTCTAAAATATTATCTTTAAAGAAGAGGTTGTTGTGATCATCAATAAATGACACATTACTTTCTGAAACAGTCAAACTAATAACACTACTGGGGAATTTGTGTCTAATCCATCCTCCAGTCATTTCTTCCTCTTCGTACTCAAAACATTCTTGTACATCTGAGGTAGAGTATGACCAACTAATATCTGCTACCTCTGATGAATCTGTAACAGTGAATCTCTCTCTTGATTCAGCTGTGAGTTGGTCTTGTCCCTCAGCTTGTGGTTTGTTTCCAAGAGATAAGATGCTGCTTCCAGAAGGTGGACCATAACTCAGGCAGCTAAGTCTGTCTTCACTTATGTTACTTGCTATATGTTCATCTCTATCTCTTACCAGGAAAGGATCACTGAAGTCAGTGCAGTCTTTACTGCTTTGCTGATTGTGAAGTTCAATGCTCCCATCAAAGGAACTGACGGTACTGTTGCCAGCGTAAAACTGTGCATAGAAATCGATGCTATCTGAATTATCAAGAGCAGGACTTGCCTCCTTAAGTGTGCTTGGCGTGGAACAATCAGTACTCTCAACACTATGTTCTCTGTGTAAATATGAGCATTCTTCAGGGTTCAAAGTACATTCAACTGCATTATCTTTACTTTTTCTCATTTCATGATCCAACCTTAAGCAATTAAGGTCAAGGATATCTGCCAAAAGGCTCTCCTTTTCTTGAATGTCACTTTTAAAATCATCATATGTTCTGGTATCAACACACTTTAAATCTAACTTGGCTGTAGAATGACTTTCCTCAGTGTCTTCAGTACCAGCTCTCTCATAATGGCATTCTGCAGGGTTCTCGCAAACTATTTCAAAATTTTCTAAATTTCTCTCATTTGCCAACATCCCACAAGTCTTATCTTGAGGCTGATTGTTCTGAGAAGACTTTGTACTTAGTGATACTGACACATCTTGAGGACAGACAGGTAAGTGTGATGGTGTCTCACAGCTAAGTGTATCACTTGTGTCTGATGTAGATCTAAAGCTGTTTACACTCAGATTGTCAGGTGAAGGGACAGCATCTGGAAAGAAATAGTAAATAAGTAAATTAGTTATGGCTAGAAAATACTTAAGAATCAGGTCCCTACTCTGACTACTAAAATGACTTTTCAAGTAAGATAGAAGGAGGTGTAGTATAAAGACAGGTCTTTAAAAGAAAACTGAGCAAGTTCCTACAAAAGATGACTGATCAGTGGGTCATCAGGTGTGTCATTTGATAAATTTAAATATTTATAATAGTTACATGTTGTGGATAATATCAGATCCCAACAAAAGAAAACCATTTGTTCCTAAAGAATGCACTAGCCAAATAACAAGATTGTAACAAATAAAATTTGGAGAAACTTTCTATTTTTTTTAACATGCAGATCATCTTCCAAGGCAGGGTGACCCAAAAAAAGAAACACTTTCACTATCAGTGTCTTGACAAAGACACGCAGATATGGCAGTTCATTATCCTGTGATAATGAAAAAAACAAAAACAAATAGCACATGGCACTGCCATTACCAATACAAAAATTATAAAGCCATCATCTACTGTACAAAATAACAAAGTTAACTTGATTTCTTGCTGCACTTGGTAAGACTGCCTTAAAACACTAAAAACTAATCTAGACCATTCCTTCAATGTTAGTGAAGGGGTCTTGATCCAGGGAATTGGAACTACCTTTTACTCTGATGAAATCAGATTGCCACCTATTTCCCAGCCAGCCATTGCATGACCTCTACAGGTTTAGCACTTCCTTATAAATACAACCATAATAACAATAATGGGAATGCTATCACCGAAAAAACAGAACTCACCAGATTTTTTCTTTTTCTTCTTTGGCTTGTCTCTCAAAACCAATGGTTCAGAGTCTGCACTTTCTGCAGCTACAATCTGTGAACTTGTTACAATTTCTTCCAAGTCTCCAACAACTTCCAGTTCTCCCTGAGAAAGTGAAATATGAATTGAACAAAATAAATAAGAATACATATTTAGAAATAAATATTCAGAGAAAAAAAAATATGGAAAGGGTGTATGTTTAGGGTATCAGATGAAAGTACGTAGTTCCCTCAAGGGAGATTCAGTGATGTCAGTGAGAGGCTCTTGATTCAAGGAACTGGATCTGCCCTCCCCTTCCTTGTATCAAAACCTGAATGTTTCTCATTCCCCCTGGCATTGCATGATCCCTATGGAATTAGAGCTCCCTATGAATGCAATAATAATAATAAGAGAGATAAAACATAACTAATGTGCAAAAGTGACTGAGGACATAATCCACCTACAGGATATGCTAAACTCCAAAAATATTATATCTAAAATTTAGCATACATAGTAAGAGTATACATAATACCTAAAAAAAAAAAGGTTGATTGGGAAAATATAGTACAGCCTCTCCTTACTTAACAACGAAGTTCCATTCCTAAGACCACATCGGTAAACAAATTAGTCACTAAGTGAGGAGCATACTATAATGGTAGTGGGTTTGTGTCAACTATCTTTGATATTGTTTTAATGTCAATTTGGCATCATTTATAACATTTCTGGTATATTTTTAAATGTTTATACAGTAGTGTACTGTATATCGTATAAACAGAATTGAGGAAATCAGCTCTAGTATACATTATTTAGGCATGCAAACTGGTCAGAGAGCCCATCGTAGTTTGAGGCGTCAGTAAACAAGTATACGTCGTTAAGTGAGGGGAGGCTGTAATGCATTTCAACTAAACAATCTGAACAGGAAACTATAGTGTCAATCGACTAATGTTTTGGTAAATTTTTCACTTTTTCTTTAATGACATTTGTACTCATCTGTTTTCCACATTTCAGCTTTGATTTGTTAATTCATTCATAAATATTGCCTACTACAGTACTTAACATTTAAAATACGTATCAGGAAATACCTCAAACTGCGCAAACCTTTGCATACAAATCACTATGAAAACAATTGAGTATCTTTCATCTTGAGCAAGTATTAAAAAAAAAAGTGATAATGATAATTATCAAAGGGTGGTTCATTGTACTGCCAGAGAGAGTTATGATGGCTATGGGCACAAGATGATTTCCTCTAGTTACAAATATTCTGGAGAAATACATGCACAGTATTTTTATACGTGTATCTGTACAGCTGGACTTGAATCCTGAAGGTGGGAAAAACAGTGCCTTCACTCTAAAGGAAGGGTTTAGGATATTTGCTGTTTAGAGAGACATCTGAGCCACCTCTGGCAAGACAGTGAAAGTGTGAATGATGGCGAAAGTGTTTCTTTTTCAGGTCACCGTGCCTCAGTGGGAGACAGCCAGTGTGTAAAAAAAAAAAAAAAAAAAAAAAAAAAAAAAAAAAAAAAAAAAAGATTTTTGGTTTCCCTGTGCTTTGAGAATATCCTAAGGCCAGGCTTAGTGCAATCCAATGGTATTACTTGGAATTCCTCAATTATCCTTTAAAAATCATTCCTTTCTCTCATTCTCTTGATTTTGACAAAATGTCGTGGATTTTTTCATAGTCATTTCTCAATTATAGTTTATCACTTATGTGCCCAAAAAACACTGCATTCTCCAGCACCTGCCTTGTGTAATGACTATTTGTCAGACATGCTTCCAGAACTGTTCGACAAATTAAATCCCCAACTACACGTACAAGCTTGAGCACAATTCATTCACCTAATACTTAAATGCAAGTTAAATATTAAAATATTAGCATTATACTTACCGTGACATGTATATCTTGCAAAGGAGGTGTTTTTCCCAAAGCTGTAATGAGTAATGGAGATGAGAACAGCGTAGGAAAAAAGCTGCTGGCAGACTGCACCATTCTGGGATGTGGTGAAGCAGATGTACACGAAAACTGTTCACTTTCTTTTATTGTTCCAGATGATGACGATCGGTGATGGCCTTGTTTCTCTCTCTTCACATTAGTGTTAGCAGACGATGCAAGATAACCCACCTGCTGCTGTTTATTACTTTTAATATCCGTTATACCAGCAGAGTTAGCATGTTCGGAGACCTTGGCTGCAACAGAGCCACTTACACGAGCAATTTGTTCAAAAAGTCCAGACCCTTTAGACACAAGACGGGCGCCAATATCACGCAGATTTTGAGTTTCAGGCAAAGAAGAAAGCCATGTAGATGAGGAAGTCACTTTCTCTCCTATTTTAATAGGTTCAATGCTCAGACAAGCAACATATCTGGATCCTTCTAGTACAAATATTTCGTTCTCTGATACAGCTACTCCAGTTATATGTCGGAAATGCCCACTAAAAGTTAGCACTTTCAAGCTATTTACATCTATGACGAAGATCCAGTTTGAATTATGTGAAACTATATAAGATGTGCCAAGAATCTGAAGTAGTCCAAATGAAAACCTTTCGCCTTCTCTTGGCTTCTCAAAACTGGGATTTAACAAGCGTGCTGCGCCTCTTTCTGGCAATTCTTTTATTATGTGAGTGTGCAAAACTTCCCCCTCTTTTGTTGATGACCAGAGTCTCAGTCCAGGTCGGGACGTATAAAGTACAGCATCAGAAGAGGTGGCTGAAGGAAACCACACACACCCAAATAATCCAAAGTGTTTGCGAGGTTTCTGACCAATCTGCTGGATTCTACCATGAATAAAACTATACACAAGAGCTCTTTCTAGTGTGGATACTGCAAGATGCTGAGAGTTGTATGAGAGTTGTGTTATACTACTAGTCTCTAGGAAAAGTTTTTTGGCTGTGCATTCACTTGTCTGGTAATTAATTTCTACTACTGAAACTACACCATTTGCATCCCCAGAGAAGAGTAGCATCCCATTTCGACTCCAAGTTAAACTAGTAATTCTAGCACTATGAACATTTGCCACTGTGAAACGTTTTACTACTGGCTGCATTGGCATAATGCCTTTCAGCTTAGGGGCACTAATATCTGAAAATGAGAAAACGGAAAATGAAGTACAACATAAAACTGACCTTATCTAAGGAAGTGTAATGTAGTTATAACACTAGAAGGTAGAAAACAGCACATACAATAATGTATTGCAAAGAATCTGATAACTGTAATTATAGTATTCTTGGAAAATATGAATCAAAGTGATTGGCATTTACTTGCATTACTACAAATAATGCTAAAGCATATAAGGAAAACATGATTATTGGACTGCTAAAACACTAAATATTATTATGTATGGCCAGTTTGTTGAAAGAAGAAAACCAGAAACAGTCACCTCTTTAACAAATGTACTATGTATATCCATTAATTCCGAAACAAATAACCCAGCGTTATATCAAAGTCTGCTAAACTGAGGGTTTTCTATACCTATACTAAACTACATGTACTCTATTACTGGCTATGGTAACTCTGAGCTTTTGAAATAAAACTCAATAGCTCTCATAATCCAGTATATTCAGAGGAGAGAATGAAATGCGGAGAATAAAAAATTACACGAGACTAGAGAGAGTCTGGAGAAACTGAATGCACTGAGATACAGCATGATGTCAAGAAGGAAATTTGTCGAGTTATTTTTGAATGCTGCAACAATTGGTAAAATAATGACACCCCTGTTGGTCTACCCCTATTTGGTCTGCTATGGTCTATGCCCATTATGTCTACACTAGAAATGGTTAATATTCTCATTTAGTCTATTAAGTATCTACATAGGAGTATTTTCTACACAAAGAATTATATGTAAAAGACAGAGCGCTTATATTATTTTCTACATTTTAGGTTCGTTTAGGTTAGGTTATATGAGCCTGTAAATATGAATACCATACTATACAAGGAGGTGCCTCAACACCAGTGAAGGCAACCCTCCCTCTCCTTGGATCAAATCTGATTACCTCCCATTCCCCAATATACTGTATGGCCCCTAAAGGTTTAGCACTCCCCCATGAAATAACCTTGTGCATGCATAATTTCATCGAATTTCATATTTTTGGTGTCATTACCTTCAATAAATCATTCTCTACCATTTCGGAAGTATTTTTTTTTTATTTCTTGGGTCCTGACACTGAAAGAATTAAAATCATACTTGTTACTCATTGCTACGAAAGAGAGCAAGCAGCATACCTGGTGATGATGATGGGTTTGCTTCCTGAAAATTGGCTACTCTAGGAAGCTGGAAAAGTGTCAGAGTACCATCTATAGCTCCTGAGGCAATCATGTCATCAACAGTTCGAACACTCGCTACACTTGATATTGCTGACAGAGGATTCTGCAAGATATCACCGACTTTTAGAAAACATTGACACGTGTATATTGTTTCAAAGTGTATTTAATATTTTGTAAGACAACAAGCAAAAGATATTTTAAACAATTGCAGGCATTAATTAATTCCATGAGAGCAAAACAGGGAAGAAAAAAATACATATAAACCAACTCAATAAATCCACAACCTAAACACGGAGGATTAAAATGAGCAAATACATCATTAAATTTCAATTTTGCCCATGTTAACTAATTACAAGGATTGTGATTTTTAATAAATTAAAAAGATATTTTTGTCTAATGACAAAAAATAGCATTGATATCCCACTGAGACAATTGACTCAAATGGGTTTGGTGTACATTTTATGAATAAGTATATTGATACTGTATATACTGTCAAAGGTATGACAAACAAAGACACAGTTTATTTTTGTGAATACAATAATATGCTGAAAGAGGTAAAAAAAAATAGTTCCTATTGAAAACCTACCTCACACTTGAGTCTCATGAGGTTGGCTGAGGGTAGATGAGCCAAGTACACAAGCCCTACATTGGTGCCCAGGACTAAATGCTGTGGTAGAGTAGCTAGGCAGGTAAGTTGAAGGTCCGCAGCCCCGAGGCCTCGCTGGAACTGTTGTGGCAACTGATCCAATAAGTTGTTGAGTGGCACCCATTCTGTCCACAAAAGATTCTCTTCTGAAGTCATCTTAAAAATGCTTCCTCCTGTCCAAATAATAATGAAAAATAACTGTATTATAATAAGATACATCTATATTCAAATAAGTATCAAAATAAACTGTTTATATAATGTATGTGCAACACATTTCTAATATATCCAGTATCAACTTAATGCCCTTTAAGGAAATTAAGTTAACCATTCATTTCCCAGGTAATGTTACTCCAGGAGATAATAATAATATCTTTATTTCTACAAGTGCATGTTGGTTTAGAAAAACACGTAAGCAAACACTATGACATATTTATTAGAAAACGTTTCGGTCCTGGGACCTTGATCAAGGTCCCAGGACCGAAACGTTTTCTAATAAATATGTCATAGTGTTTGCTTACGTGTCTATCTAAACCAACTTGTCGGTATTCATTACCAAGGTTTATACCACAAGTGCATGTAAAACGTATACAGGCCTAGCTGGCATCAATGACATACTACTACATAGAAAGTCGCTTGTTATGCAGAGCATTTTTGGCAAATTAAGTCAGTTTTGTCCCAGGATGCATCCCACACCAGTCGACTAACACCCAGGTACCCATTTTTACTGACGGAGAACATAGACAACCGGTGTACGGAAACACACCCAATGTTTCTACCCTCGCCGGGAATCGAACCCAGACCCTCACCGTATGAAGCGAGAGCTTTAGCCACCAAGCCACAGGGTACCGTGTATAACCACTAAGTTTTAGCACATTCCCATGAATACAACAGCAATAATAATATTAATGATAATATGCCTTGATCCTGGTGAAAGGCACATACATGCACTGCATGCTAATGGCATTCTTTTGTCTAACAGTATTTTATGTATAATTGCCTGCCATTCCACTGGTGCTATATGACTCCTACAAGTTAGCACTTCTTAAAGGAAATTCTCTGATACAAACAAAAAAAAAAAAGTGTAGATGAATGGTTCAAAGAACTGACAAGTTGATAAATTACACATATGCAACACTTGGGTATCTTTAATGAGGAAATGTTTTGCCACACAGTGGCTTCATCAGTCCATACAAAGAATGGTGAAGAACAGGAGTTTGAGGTAATCAGTCCCTCAGCCTTGAGTCGATGTGATCAGTCCATCAATCTTGAAAAGACTGATGGACTGATCAGCAGTGCAGCACTGCTGTAGGCCTAATGGCCCTTGCTAGGCAGGTCAAACTCGCCCACTCTTACACGTGTCCAACTTAATTATTAAAGCTACCCAGAGTTCTTGCCTCAATGATACTAACTGGTAATTTGTTCTTCTGATCCACAACTCTAAAGGGACACCAGTGCTTTGATATATCCTTTCTATACGTAACTTTGTCTAATAGGCCTATTGCACACCCACACAGTCGAGTTACTTAGCTGTCTAAACTTTTAAGGTCTATATTATTATTATTATTATTATTGTTTATTATTATTATTATTATTATTATTATTATTATTATTATTATTATTATTATTATTATTATTATTGGGGAAGCGCTAAACCTGTAGGATTATACAGTGCCTGTGGGGGATGTGGAAGATATTCAGGTTTGGTAATAGAGTTGTGGATGAGTGGAACAAACTCCCCAGTAGTTATAGAGGCTAAAACGTTGTATAGTTTTAAATAATAGGTTAGATAAATACATGAGTGGGTGTGGGTGGGTGTGAGTTGGACCTGACTAGCTTGTGTTACTAGGTCAGATGCCGTGCTCCTTCCTTAAGTGAATGTGACCTGACCTGACTAGGTTAGGGTATTGGCTTAAGCCGGTAGGAGACTTGGACCTGCCTCGCATGGGCCAGTAGGCCTTCTGCAGTGTCCCTTCTTTATGTTCTTATGTTAATTCAGGGAGCTGGAGCACATGTTACTACGTATGATAATTGTATTTATGTGTACCTGTACCTAAATGACTTTACTTTAGTATGGTAATTTAGATATAAGTACACGTAAGTATAATTATCATTTTATTATTTATTTTATTATCACACCGGCCGATTCCCACCAAGGCAGGGTGGCCCGAAAAAGAAAAACTTTCACCATCATTCACTCCATCACTGTCTTGCCAGAAGGGTGCTTTACACTACAGTTTTTAAACTGCAACATTAACACCCCTCCTTCAGAGTGCAGGCACTGTACTTCCCATCTCCAGGACTCAAGTCCGGCCTGCCGGTTTCCCTGAATCCCTTCATAAATGTTACTTTGCTCACACTCCAACAGCACGTCAAGTATTAAAAACCATTTGTCTCCATTCACTCCTATCAAACACGCTCACGCATGCCTGCTGGAAGTCCAAGCCCCTCGCACACAAAACCTCCTTTACCCCCTCCCTCCAACCCTTCCTAGGCCGACCCCTACCCCGCCTTCCTTCCACTACAGACTGATACACTCTTGAAGTCATTCTGTTTCGCTCCATTCTCTCTACATGTCCGAACCACCTCAACAACCCTTCCTCAGCCCTCTGGAAAAACAGTTTTGGTAATCCCGCACCTCCTACCTAACTTCCAAACTACGAATTCTCTGCATTATATCACACCACACATTGCCCTCAGACATGACATCTCCACTGCCTCCAGCCTTCTCCTCGCTGCAACATTCATCACCCACGCTTCACACCCATATAAGAGCGTTGGTAAAACTATACTCTCATACATTCCCCTCTTTGCCTCCAAGGACAAAGTTCTTTGTCTCCACAGACTCCTAAGTGCACCACTCACTCTTTTTCCCTCATCAATTCTATGATTCACCTCATCTTTCATAGACCCATCCGCTGACACGTCCACTCCCAAATATCTGAATACATTCACCTCCTCCATACTCTCCTCCCTCCAATCTGATATTCAATCTTCATCACCTAATCTTTTTGTTATCCTCATAACCTTACTCTTTCCTGTAATCACCTTTAATTTTTCTTCTTTTGCACACCCTAAACCAAATTCATCCACCAATCTCTGCAACTTCTCTTCAGAATCTCCCAAGAGCACAGTGTCATCAGCAAAGAGCAGCTGTGACAACTCCCACTTTGTGTGTGATTCTTTATCTTTTAACTCCACGCCTCTTGCCAAGACCCTCGCATTTACTTCTCTTACAACCCCATCTATAAATATATTAAACAACCACGGTGACATCACACATCCTTGTCTAAGGCCTACTTTTACTGGGAAAAAATTTCCTTCTTTCCTACATACTCTAACTTGAGCCTCACTATCCTCGTAAAAACTCTTCACTGCTTTCAGTAACCTACCTCCTACACCATACAGTTGCAACATCTGCCACATTGCCCCCCTATCCACCCTGTCATACGCCTATATTGTGTAAATTACCTAGGAACCCGGGAATCGAACTTTGGTCCATTCAGTTGTGAACCGAACGAGTTACAACAAAATTTACACCCAAATAATTAAGTTCATTTAGGTACAGGTACACATAAATACAATTACACAAATTATCATACATAGTAACATGTGTAAATTACCTGGGATAAACCTCTCTTCCCCCCCCCCCCCCCCCCCAAAAAAAAGTCAGTGACTTATCTACACAAAAACATATTTTCTTAATATTGTTCTTTCCGATGCAGTGATACTACGTAAGATATTTCACCATGTTGCAACTGCATGAAGGAAAAAGATTGCAGTACCTGCAGAAGTTTAGAGTGGCTCAGACTGGAGCATCGACGCCACTTATGAACGTGACTGTTGCAACACTGCAAGCCGCGGCCAGCATTTAAAAAAGCTAAATTGCCTTGCACAGCGATAACATCTGCAATTGTTTTGATGAACCAGCTGATGAATATGTTGTGTCAGCGAACACTGTTGGTTAACATTTTCTTCAGTGATCATATCCAGCTAGCAAATCATTCCCGCCAGAAACCATTCCCGCCAGTGATCGTTTCCCGCCAGCGATCGTTCCCGTCAGTGATCATTCCCGCCAACGATCATTCCCCCCGCCAGTGATCGTTCCCGCCAGCGATCGTTCCCGTCAGTGAATCATTCCCGCCAGTGATCGTTCCCGTTCTTTCTGAAGTGATATCCTCAAAACCTTTTTTATATCCCCTTTGTTAATACCCATCTCCACTTATACACCTCGATCATGTCCCCCCCCCTCATTCTTCGTCTTACAAGTGAATGTAGTTTAAGAGTCTTCATCGTTCTTCGTACGGAAGATTTCTAATGCTATGTATTAATTTAGTCATTCTACGCTGGATATTTTCTAGCGAATTTAATATCCTTTCTGTAATACGGAGACCAAACTGAGCTGCGTAATCTGGGTGAGGCCTTACTAATGATGTATAAAGCTGTAATATAACTGCTGGACTTCTGTTGCTTACACTTCTTGATATAAATCTGTTTGCTTTGTTACGTACACTTAGACACTGCTGTCTTTAAGGTTGCTGCTCACCATAACCCCCAAATCCTTTTCGCAATTTGTATGGCTAAGTTTTACGTTATTTAACTTATAAGTGCTAGGGTTATGGACACTCCCGAACTTCAGAACCTTGCACTTATCTACACTGAACTGCATCTGTCATTTTTCTGACCACGAACTGAGTTTGTCTAAATCCTCCTGAAGTTCCGTGACATCTAAGTTTGAATCAATTATCCTACCTATCTTTGTGTCATCGGCGAATTTGCTCATATCACTAGTAATTCCCTCACCAAGATCATTGATATATATTATAAACAACAACGGGCCCAAGACTGATTCCTGTAGTACGCCACTTGTTGGTATAAACCTTGGTAATAAATACCGACAAGTTGGTTTAGAAAGACACGTAAGCAAACACTATGACATATTTATTAGAAAACGTTTCGGTCTTGGGACCTTGATCACACATGTGCAACATCTGGATATCTTTATTGTAGACGTTTCGCCATCCAGTGGCTTTATCAATATAGATTCTAGGACATAATTAGAAGACAGTAGAACTATATACAAAAGATGAGGTAATCAGTCCCTCAGTCTTAGAGTTAGTGTTCACAGCATCGTGGTGGAGGAGAATCTGGAGCAAAGGCGAACGAAAAAGTTCAGGTAAGATCCCAAATGGGATGAGCGGGGAAGACGGGACAGACGAAGAATAGCGCTGGAGAGGAGTGTTCTTAGTCGTAGAAATAGAGCCAGGGCTTAGCCCAGCAGCGAAGGCGATCGTGGGACGGATATTGAGAAGAGAAATTCAGGCTCTTCTGTTGGGACTCCGGTGGGTTGAGCGGGGAGGACGGGAGAGGCGATGATTAGCGCTAGAGAGGAGTGTAGAACTGAGCCATGTCTTAAATCAAAAGCTAAGGCGAACGTAGGTCAGAGAATGAACAGCTCAAGGTACCTGTCAGAGAATCCAAGGTTATCTGTAAATAGGGTTAGGAGCAGGATCATGCAAGAAGTAGAAAAGGTTGTGGCCCGGTGGCCTGGTGGCTAAAGCTCCCGCTTCACACACGGAGGGCCCGGGTTCGATTCCCGGCGGGTGGAAACATTTCGACACGTTTCCTTACACCTGTTGTCCTGTTCACCTAGCAGCAAATAGGTACCTGGGTGTTAGTCGACTGGTGTGGGTCGCATCCTGGGGGACAAGATTAAGGACCCCAATGGAAATAAGTTAGACAGTCCTCGATGACGCACTGACTTTCTTGGGTTATCCTGGGTGGCTAATCCTCCGGGGTTAAAAATCCGAACGAAATCTTATCTGTTGGTTTGTGGGTCTGCGAATGTCTTGGTCAAGGAGAGAGGTCCAGTAGTCATGTCGTGTCTCAAGTTTGTCTGTCTGTCTGTCACTGAGCGTCTTCCAGTACAGCTTCAGCGCAGGGATGTCTAATTGGGCATGGAGAGACTCGCTTGTGGGGAAGTCCCCCCATCTGACATCAAGCACCCAGCGCAGCGCCTTGTTCTGGACACTCTGCAGTTTAAGTAAGTTTGTTTTAGCTGCAAGAGAGAGGGCTAGAGGAGAGTAAGTTATCAGAGGACGTAATAGGGATTTGTAGAGGTGTAGTTTGGTGCGTTGGGAGGCATGTTTCAGCTTGTAGAGGTCCACAAGAGCCTTACTAGCTATTGCATGCCTCGAGTGAATATGACCGTGTAAGCGAAGAAGGTAGTCAAGATTAACGCCAAGGACAGTGACAGATTGTGTGATGGGGATGTAAGTGCGGGTGTCAGCTGCTTTGAGCTCGACAGGTACTGGAGGATCACGTTTCCTGTAGTTAAAATATGTAATGCTGGATTTAGCTGCATTGGTTTTGATCCTCCATTTTTGTTCCCAGATGGCTATCATGTCGACCTCATTTTGTGTTTTGTGTGTGAGTGTATTTATATTGGCGTGAGTGATGAGTTGTGTAATGTCGTCTGCATAGGCTAGTGTGATGGAGTTGTGGTATACAGGGATGCCAAGCCCATGATGACACTCTTCAGGTCACTTGTTCTATCTAGGCTGGAATATTGCTGCACACTAACAGCACCTTTCAAGGCAGGTGAAATTGCTGACCTAGAAAATGTACAGAGAACCTTCACGGCGTGCATAACGGAGATAAAACACCTCAATTACTGGGAGCGCTTGAGGTTCCTAAACCTGTATTCCCTGGAATGCAGGCGGGAGAGATACATGATTATATACACCTGGAAAATCCTAGAGGGACTAGTACCGACTTATACACGAAAATCACTCACTACGAAAGCAAAAGACTTGGCAGACGATGCAACATCCCCCCAATGAAAAGCAGGGGTGTCACTAGCACGTTAAGAGACCATACAATAAGTGTCAGGGGCCCGAGACTGTTCAACTGCCTCCCAGCATACATAAGGGGGATTACCAATAGACCCCTGGCAGTCTTCAAGCTGGCACTGGACAAGCACCTAAAGTAGGTTCCTGACCAGCCGGGCTGTGGCTCGTACGTTGGTTTGCGTGCAGCCAGCAGTAACAGACTGGTTGATCAGGCTCTGATCTACCAGGAGGCCTGGTCACAGACCGGTCCTCGGGGGCGTTGACCCCCGGAACACTCTCCAGATATACCAGATATATACAAGTGTCTTAACTTTCATCAGGTGTTGGAAAGTTAAGACACATGTGCAACATCTGGATATCTTTATTGTTGACGTTTCGCCATCCAGTGGCTTTATCAATACAGATTCTAGGACATAATTAGAAGACAGTAGATATCCAGATGTTGCACATGTGTCTTAACTTTCATATGTCGGTATTTTATACCTTTCTTGCACAACTTGCCAGACACTGCAACATCATGGAATCTTGGTTCAGAGGACATCTACAAGACCTTCTTCACGGCTGCTGCAACTAACCCATCCCTTTGGGTAGGACCTACTTCCACTGGGGAATCCCGCCTACCAGTGACCATGTCCTCGTCTGCTACACGTCCTTATCCACTGACGCCTGTATAACCGCCAGTCTACTTGCCTTTGCTCCAGATTCTCCTCCACGATGCTGTGAACACTAACTCCAAGACTAAGGGACTGATTACCATATCTTTTGTATATAGTTCTAATGTCTTCTAATTATGTCCTAGAATCTGCATTGATAAAGCCACTGATAAAGCCATTGATAAAGCCACTTTCATAGTGTCGGTATTTTATACCTTTCTTGCACAACTTCACATTTCTACTGCTGCCAATTTATCTGTACTCGTCTGAAGAAACCTACTGTGTAGGGGAAACGTTTCGGAGCAGAGATACCTAACTGTTGCACATGTCTTATTTACCAAGCATTCCTATTACCGACTATTCTTATCACCGACCATTTCCGCCAACGACCACTTCTTCCTTTTTCTACTCCCGGTAACCCCTCAATACGGAGATTATTAATAAGGTCATTTAGGTACAGGTACACATAAGTACAGTTATCATGAAAGAAATGGTATGGTGATACCGACAAGATGTGGAAAAGGACACATGTACAATTCAGGACATTTATTAAAGGAAACGTTTCACTACGAGTAGCTTCTTCAGTTATCTCTGTATTGAAGATTGAGACACTTATGCAACATATGGGATATGTTGAATAAGTGTCTCAATCTTCAACTTGAGCATTAAAATGGTATAAAATACCGACAGGTTGTTAGGTAAGACACATATGCAACAGTTAGGTATCTTTATTTCGAAACGTTTCGCCTACACAGTAGGCTTCTTCAGTCGAGTACAGAAAAGTTGATAGAAGCACTATGAAACAGTGCTCTTCTCTAGACTGAGGGACTGACCACCTCAAAACTTTAAGGGTGATGGACTGATTACATCGTCTTCAAGTCTCTTCTGCTTCTATCAACTTTTCTGTACTCGACTGAAGAAGCCTACTGTGTAGGCGAAACGTTTCGAAATAAAGATACCTAACTGTTGAACATTAAAATGGTATAAAATACCGGTATTTTATACCATTTTAATGTTCATTACCTAACATACCTAACTGTTGCATATGTGTCTTACCTAACAATCTTCAACTTGTCGGTTTTCAAACCATTTATCATATCTCTGTATTAGGACTGAAGAAGCCATTTGTAGCAGTACGTTTCCTTAAATAAATGTCCTGAGCTGTACATGTGTCCTTTTCCACAAGTGCAACTAATGTGACATTTTGTTGTGGCAACGTTTCGCTCTCCAGGAGCTTTACCAAACCGTTACGGCTCGTCAAAGCTTCTAGAGAGCGAAACGTTGCAACAATAAAATGTCACATTAGTTACATCTGTGTCCATTTATCTAACATTTCTCAAGACTGATCCCCCCTGTACACTACTTCAAGACTGACAGACTACTCACATCATCTTCGCCGTTCCACTCTTTCTACCGTCTACAATGTGAATATCAAAATGGTCAGTGGTC